GTTAGATACTCCTGATAAGCTGTACAGTAACAGTTTTAAGCCTATAAGCCTATTTGTTTAGCCTGTTTTAACCTTTATGCCCGCTCAAAATAAACTCTTAGCTGCAGGCAGATTGTTTGTTTTGGCACTAACTCTGTATCTTTGTGTGGCAGCAGTCACTTGGGCTGATTATCATATTCCTCATTATGAGGGCAGATGTTTTGTCAGAGAAAACATTTGTCTCCTTGTCTCTCTGCGGCTAAAGAGTCATTTGTTGGTGTTTATTGATGGCCGAGGGAGGAGGCTAATGTCACCTTTCCTTGCATGCATGTTAGTGTGTGTGGCATAATAATGTTTCAGTGTCCTGCAGTCCGAGGATTTTTTGATTACTCTGAGGAAATATGTGGTTGCTTTAGGGATCTTTTATCAAAATGGTTATCAAAGCATTGTTGAAGGCTGCTTCTGTGCAGACATTATTGATGGTTGCCCAGCCTTTCTTCCAAAGCAATTACCTTTTTGCCTTTTTTCCCTCTTCTGACGCTCTGCCCTTCATTCTCCTCCATATACACGTGTTATTTTCAGTCCTTACATTCTTCCATAGCGTCCTTCCTAATTAACTTCCACTCTCTATCACTTTCAGATGAGGGCCAGACAATATGCCACAACCCTCCAGAGCTGGTGGGTCAGCGGCTGGCAGAGGTCGGCATGCAGCTGCGGACGGACTGCCACCAGGGCCTGGGCTACTGGGACTACCTCTTCTTCATCGCCATCGGCTTCGTCATCTTCTCGGCCGGCACCGTTTCGGCTTGGGTGATGGGCGTGCTCATGGTGCTGTACGAGCGCTACAGCAAGCGGAAGAGCGAGGAGCTGGACAGCGAGGACGAGGGTGAGAGGGGGCCCATTAATGGAAGCGGCGGAGGAGGGGACCAGGGGAACGGGGATCTGAGCAAACCAAGCATGGAGGTGTGACAGACTAGTGTGGAGAAGCGCCTGTAAACATTACTTGAAATGAAGATGAGAGAACAGACAGAAACGGAGGCGAAAGCAGCCTCCCCTTTGAACTGACATCTGCTCGTCTCTTCTAGTTGCAGATTTAGATTTCGCAAATGCTCTTTAACATCATGAAAAGTGTGTATTCAGCTGTGTGTGTGAGAGAGAAACAATCAGAGACAGCAATAAGGATGCCTTCAAGTCAGGAGAACAGAGTGACCTCTGAGATTATTGAGAGCAATAACCCTGCACATTCAACCACAAGTTCCTGCATATGATGTAAAGTGCTCTTTACCAACACCTTGTGTGAGTGGCACGTTCAAGCACACACTTACAGTTCATTCAGAAAATAATGGGGAGAGGTCCTAAAAAAGACAGATGCCTTAAATCTGCCACAGTGGAAATACAAAACCGTATTTATATTAATGTTTCATTGCATTGAAAGAATGCCCTAAATGGTTCAAATTAGCTTTTTTATTAGTTACATAACAAAGAGAGTAGTGTAAATGTACTTAAATGACAGTAATTACAGCTCACTGAATTACATCAGAAAGTTCAGGTTATGGTTGCAAAGGGTTTCAATTTCAGAATTTTATCAAAACACGTCATATGCAATTCTTTTTGCAAAAGGCAAATTGACAAAAATGGCATTTGAATATTTTTTGCAGGTAAAAAATAAAAAAAATCTGATTAAGCTAAATGCCTTTTAAAATCTATGGAAAGTTTCCAAACTTAAAAAATGACTGAAATTTGAAACCCTAATTTTTTCCTTCAAAGGGACATTGTATATTTTTTTTTTTTACTAGCATTATTGAATATTATTGATGTTTTTTGTCTGACAGCCGATTAGAGACAAAACTGACAGTTTTTTTAAACACGAAGTACTCATGGATTTTAGCTGAATTATTTGTGGGACATTTTTGAATGTAGAAAGATCTTAGATCCTACAAAGCTTTGCAGGTTTCTAACAAAAGCAGCTTGTCACCGCTTGAACACCTTGTTGAGCTGATCCTCCTGTGTGCTTGAACTTCTTAGAGTGAAATTTCAGTGCTCTTCACAGTGAGGCATGATTACAGGCTCCCAGTAGTGGCAGACCTTTTGGAACAACCATTCCAGAAACTGCAGGAAATTCACACAGTGCAAAAATAGATGAGACTTGAACATGTTGCTTTGTCTGTGTTGGACTTTCTAAAATCTTTCTAGAACTACTGGAATAATCTCAGCCCTGCTCTAAAGCCATTTCCAATTCCAAGTTCCCAGGCAAATTGAACAGAGCATTTTAGTTACCTTCTGTGAAATAGTTGCAATTAAAAAAAATGCTTAATCATGCTAGAAATTAACAGAGATTACCGCAACAGTTTTTCTTCCTTCTGCTGAAGAATTCAATTCAGTTCAATTCAGTTTAATTCTATAGCTCTAATTCATTACACATGTCATCTCAAGGCTCTTTAAAGTTCACCAGATCAAAAAATCTAATTGATTCAGTTTTCTGTCTAAGCCTTAGACAGAAAACTGAATCAATTAGATTTTTTGATCTAAGGGAAATCAGTTTATTGCATCGACTTGAGGGCAATCCCTCACACTAAGTATGCTTGTAGTGATAGTGGAGAGGAAAAACTCCCTTTTAACAGGAAGAAACCTCCAGCAGAACCAGGCTCAGCGTGAGCGGCCATCTGCTGAGGCCGACTGAGGTTCAAGGAGACAGAAGCAGACATACCGAAAGAAGCAGAGATACAAAAGGCAACTTTAAAAGGCGGCCAGGAAACACGCAGCCAGGCAAACGAGCTCAGAGCCAGCTCCCATGTCAGAGGATGAAGAGAGCACATCCAGCTCCACGTTCCAAGAATGACCTACAGCTAGTTGCAGCTAAAATAATAATTCTTATTTTGCAGCTTAACCAGCTGTCAATGCACAGATAAATCATGTAGATTGGAGGTCTTCAACAGGGGGTCCGCGACCCCTAGGGGGTCCACGGAGATACTGCATTGGGGTCGTGAAAGTTTTAGTTGATTAGACTTTTTCTTTTTAATTAACCCCTGCAATTTTTGTCCGCTAATTGGAAAGTCTTTAGATAGACATTAACATGAATTCAACCTACTGTAGTAAACAGATAAATGGAGGCAGAAGATGTCTTTCAGTCATCAATGCACACATTCAGCGACACACAGGAGCTCTTTCAACATGGGCACCATTTCATTCACAACACCTGTCCCATCAACCAGGAATCAGATTTGGTTTCCAGACCAGCTTTCTTGTTTGGTGTCAAGTTCCTGTAAAAGGTCATTCCCCTGTAAAGGCCAACAAAGCCTTCCTTTTGGCATTACCAAGTGAGCCTGTAGCGTGCGAGTTGTGCACAAGTGTTTTTTTTCTAGTTTTTTTTTTGTCTACAGTGTGAGTCGCAGCACACTGCTGTAACCAGGTCTAACATGCTGGAGTTCTAGAAGTGGGCCAGATTCATGGTGGCTGTACATGAAGAAAGTATTAAGAGCGTTTTAGTCAGTCAAGCACTTAATGATGACTTTATATGATGTGACTGCTTTTCTCTCTTGGCTGGCTTCATGTTAAAGTGAACATATAAGGCAGAGAAAGGGTATTTAACCCCTTTAACATTGCTTATATTTCTGCCCTTTTTTGCCACACTTCAAGGTTTCAGTGCATTTATTTTAATATCAACGAAAGTGTTTTTTTTTTTCAGAAAGGAACTTAGGGCTGGCAATAAATGTAAATGAGTCTTTTAAATCACTGTGAGGAGAATTTGACCCACTGTTCCTTGTACGATTGTTTTAATTTTGGCTCATTTGAGGGGATATAGGGTTGGAAAACCTACATTTGAATCCCTTAAGTTTTTTTAGCCATTCAAAATGTGGACTTGATGGTGAGCTTCGGCTCATTTTTCTGTAGAAAAACGCCAAAATGCTGGAAAATGATAGCGCCATGAGGAATTTTTGGGTTATGTTGCAGTTAGCTCACGTCGTCTAGGTCCTGAAACAGCACAACAGCCCAGACCATCACACTTCCACCATCGATTATGGCTGTTAAATGTTCTTGTTATAAAAAGCTGTGTTAGCTTTTATGGGGACACACACACCTTCCAAAAAGTTTAACTTTTGCTTCATCTGCCCACAGAATATTTCGCTGATAGTCTTGGTCAGGGGTGGGCAATTCCAGTTCCTATGGGTCGGTATCCTGCAACTTTAAGATGTGCCTTTGGTTCAACACACCTGAATCAAGTAATTAGATTATTGAGAGGACTCTGCAGGAACGAACGGCTCACTGAGGAGGTTATTCAGCCATTTAATTCAGGTGTGTTGGACCAAGGAGGAATCCAAAGTTTCAGGATACCTGCCCTCAGGAACTGGAATTGCCCACCCCTGCTCTTGGTTATCATTAAGATATTTCTTGGACATTTTAATATGGAGTAATTGGCTCATCGCTCTTCCATTTTTTTTTTTTTTTACATTTGTGGACAGTGCTGGAATTCTGAGGAATCTATGTTTTGTCTTTTTGGTTGCTCTCTTCCTGAGGGGTCTCCAGGGTAATTTATTCTGACTTGCTCAGAGACTTTGCAAGGTTTTTAATGCCAGGTGCCCTTCCTGATGTAACCAGGATTTAAACATTCAACCAATAAAACATCTGGATTCCTAATTCCCGGGAGTCCTTTAACTTGAGAAACTGCTTCGTAATCCTTTCCAGACTAATAATACTATAAATATCCACAGCTTTCTCTCTGCCGTTCTTTTATTAAGTAAGATCGAGACATGATTATTTGTTTTAGGAGCTATTTCACCTGCTTCATGTTGTCACACTGGTTTTATAAATCCTAATGAATCTATCTGAATCTATCTAATTGAATCCGACCTGTGGTCCTGTACCGCATTTCTCTCCCCCTCTCTCATTCCCCCTTTCCTGTCAGCCTACTGTCAAAAAAACGAGCCACTAGTGCCGGGAAAAAAAAGCTAAAATGAGTAATTTAGCAGGTAGTAAACACTTTTTTCCTGCACTGTTCAAGGCCAACCCATCCCTCACTGTGGAGCACTGAAAGCATAATGTTTGAGTGTTTGATCAGAGTCAAGCAATCAGAAAGCACCTCTGTGAGCAGAATGGCTAAATCATATATAAGTAGAAGATGATCAGATGGCCCCTCTCACCTGTCCATCACGGGGAGCACGTCAGAGATGATAAATGACAAACCCACTAATGGAGATGGGGAAGGAAAAAGGTGCGGACAATGTCACAAGTGTGAATTCTTCCTGAACGACGCACTTAGCTGCTTGAGTGATTGATAACGTCGTCTGCTGAGAGCGTAAACGCTGAAGCTCGACTGCGTGTGTCATCGAGTGTGTGAGAAAACACACAGGTGTATTTATGGCTCCTGGTGGCATACCTTAAAGTTGATGCACATGAGTGGCTTCAGCTTTATTCACAATGCTAGGTTAACTAGTCACCACAATAACGCACCTTATCTGATACAAAGTCAAGCACAGGAAGCGGCTCACTCTCTGCCTTTCACACATAGACGCACACAAACCCACGCACACACATATCCAACACATGCCCAATGAATCTCAAGGGCACAGCTAAAGTCAGAGCCGCAGGCCTGAGAACATTAACACTCCTGTTTTGGTCTCTCTTGCCATGCATCACTACATCCTCTTATCCTCCCCTCCATCTTCAAGCTGACGCCATCATCAGCTTTCTCACACACACACACACAATGAAACACCCACACTCATAATTTACCTCAGCTAAATCTTTATGCTGTCATTATTGGATCGTTTTTGTCAAAGGGAAGCTTAAAGCGCCATCCGTCCTTCTTTTATTACATCACAATCATTTGGCGCAGAAGGGCATGACCTCCCAGCAGCAACAGGCCTGTAGTTATCAGGACAACAATACTTCCTGTCTGGGGAGCGTAACTCTTTTAATGGCAGTGATGACTGCGCAGCAGACAGATAACGGCTGTCGTTGGCGCGTTGTAG